TTCTCCCTTAAAGCTTATTTTTTCTGCATTCTCTCTCTCAGCACATTATTGCCCAAGTCAGAAACCCTAGGTATCACTCTAGATACTTGTGATGTGTCACCTTGGCGACGCCAAACGAAACCCCCCAGGATCCCCTTTCTGGCATGTTTCCAGTTGGAATGGGCTGTGGGAGAAGCAGCCATTTTGTAGCAGACACAGGCCTTCTCCCAGATATTGGATCAAACACTAATTTAGGTTCTGTGGTCAAGGGATTTTGCAAATATAATTAAAGTCTCTAATTGGTTGGCTTTGACTTAATCTAAGGGAGATTATCCTGGGTGGCCTGGCTTAATCAGATGGAATCCCTTTAAAAGAGGGCTAGGCCCCCCTGGGGTCGGAGACTTCAGCCACAGCTGGGCCTGCATTGCTCTCCTTCGCCTAGGATCATCTCTTCCCAACTGCCTGCCCTGCTGGCTTCAGGATTACTTAGCCAACTCCCACAATTATGTCAGCCAATTAGCTAATTCCTTGTACTAAATCAATTTTTATATATTTATCAATATCCTGTATATAATATATATATATACAAAGGACAAACTGATTCTACTCTGGTTGAGCTCTGAGTGAGAATATTCCTCCTCTACCCAATCACTTAGCAAATCCTCAGATTCTGCTGCTTCAAAAGGTTCTCTCCTTTTGTTCCCTCCTCTCTGTTCTGGTGCATCTGGGTTCATTTGAGCCGCACTTCTTCTTGCCTGGATTATTGGGGTTCCCTTCCAGCTGGTCTCTGTGCCTCCTATGAGTTCCTGCCACCCTATGTTTATTCTCAAATGATTGCCCAGAGTGTTCTTTCTAAACTATATATCTGATCTTGTCTCTCTTCTTAAAATCTTTTAATGGCTTCCTGAAACTTCAGGCAAAAGTTCAAAAGCTGTAGCTTTTTTATATGATTGCATTTTCTCTTCTCTTAGCATATCGATTATACTTCTTTTGAAAATTTTTTTAGTGGGTGCTCTAGAGTTTGCAATATATATTTGCAACTAATCCAAGTCCACTTTCAAATAACACTATACAACTTCACTGGTAGTGCAAGTACCTTGTAATAGAGTATTCCTAATTCCTCCATCCCATTCATAATAGCATTGATATACTGCATATATATATGCATATATAGCATATATATACATACTGTCATTCATTTCGCTTATTTGTAAGCTATAATCACCAAATACGTTGTTGCTATTATTTTGAATAAACTGTTAATCTATTTGTTAACTGTTAGCAATTAAGAATACGATTTTATTTTACCTTCATTTATTCCTTCTCTGACACTCTTTCTTTATGTAGATCTGAGTTTATGACCTATTTCTTTCTCTCTGAAGAACTTCATTTAACATCTTGCAAGTCAGGTCTATTGGTGACAAATTCCCTCAATTTTGTTTGTCTGAGAAAGTCTGTATTTCTCCTTCACGTTTAAAGGATAATTATGCTGGATACAGAATTCTAGGTTGATGAATCTTTTTCTTTCAACACTTTAAATATTTCATTCACTCTGCTCTCTTCTTGCTTGCATGGTTTCTGAAGAGAAGTCCAATGTAATTCTTATCTTTGCTCTTCTACAGATAAGGTGTTTTTTTTCCCTCTATTTGCCTTCTTTGTTGATTTTCTTGGTCTTGATTTTCTGTAGTTTGAATAAAATATGCCTAGGTGTAGATGTTTTGGTAGTTATCCTGCTTGGTATTCTGTGAGCCTCCTGGATCTGTGGTTTGATTCTGTCATTAATTTTGGAAAATTCTGTCATTATTACTTCAAATATTTCTTCTGTTTCTCTCTCTCTTCTCCTTCCGGTATTCCCATTACATGTATGTTACACCTTTTGTAATTGTCCCAAGGTTCTTAGATATTCTATCCTGTTTTTTTAATTCTTTTTTCTCCTTACTTTTCAGTTTGGGAATTTTTTATTGACACATATTCAAGCTCACTGATTCTTTCCTTGGCCATGTCCAGTCTACTGATGAGCCCACCAAAGGCATTCTTCATTTCTGTTACAGTATTTTTGGTTTCTAGCATTTCCTCTTGATTGTTTCTTAGAGTTTCCATCTCTCTGTTTACATTATTCATCTGCACTTGCATGTTGTCCATGTTCCTGTTGGAGTCCTTAGCATGTTAATCATAGTTATTTAAAATTCCTGGTCTAGAGGCCGGCCTGGTCACGTAGTCGTTAAGTTCGCATGCTCCACTTTGACGGCCTGGGGTTCGCAGGTTCAGATCCTGGGCGTGGACTTACACACCGCTCATCAAGCCATGCTGTGGCAGCGTCCCACGTATAAAATACAGGAAGACTGGCACAGATGTTAGCTCAGGGCCAATCTTCCTCACCAAAAAATAAAATAAAATAAAATAAAATTCCTGGTCTGATAATTCCAAAATCTCTATCATCTGGTTCTGATGCTTGCTTTGTCTCTTCAAACTGTTTTTTGCCTTTTAGTATGCCTTGTAATTTTTTGTTGAAAGCCAGATGTGTGTGAGGTTTTATGTTTATCTGGCGAGGAGTTAGGCTGTCTGTTGTTTGTGGAAGCTATAAGTGTCAAAGGGTAACATTTCCTTTGGTGTCCTTGTTTTTGTTTCCCTTGTTGTCTTTGAGTTTCTAGAGACTTCTTAAGTTCTAAGACTTGCAGTTCTTTCTTTTGTTATTCAGTTCTCCCTGTTATTGTACAGGAACCTGTTGTTGGAGGGGTAAAGTGTGAGGGGAAGGAGAGCGTTCTATATCCGGTGATTAGGTCTGAGTCTTTGAGGGAGCCTGCCCCCCTGGATCTTCATAAGTGCTTTTCAGGCTCTCCTCACCCCTTTAAGTGAGACAAGAAGGCTAGAAGGGGCTGGAGTTGGGTATTTCCCTTCCCCCAAGCCAGTTAGGTTTGGGTAGAATAGTTCCCTTTGAGGGCAGGCTTTGTTAAGAACAGAGGGCTCGGGGCTGGCCCGGTGGCTTAGCGGTTAAGTGCGCGCACTCCGCTACTGGTGGCCCGGGTTCGGATCCCGGGCGCGCACTGACGCACCGCTTCTCCAGCCATGCTGAGGCCGCGTCCCACGTACAGCAACTAGAAGGATGTGCAACTATGACATACAACTATCTACTGGGGCTTTGGGGGGAAAAAAAAGGAGGAGGATTGGCAATAGATGTTAGCTCAGAGCCGGTCTTCCTCAGTAAAAAGGGGAGGATTAGCACGGATGTTAGCTCAGGGCTGACCTTCCTCACAAAAAAAAAAAAAAAAAAACAGAGGGCTCTCACTACACTTCAGAATGGCTACTTCTCCCATCTCTCTGCCAAAAGCACTAGGGGATTTTTCTCTGATCTGCACCCTGAGACCCTGATGGGGCTCCTGGAGGTAAAACTCACAAAAATGTGGGGGCCCCCTCTAAGACCGAATCCTCCTGGAACTTTTAGCAGTCAAGCTGGTTCACACTGAGCTTCCAGCAATTTGTTGATTAGTTTAAATTTTCCAGTGGTCCTTGCCCCAAGAGTGGGCTTCTGCTTCTGGTAAGCTGTGATTCTCTGTACCTGCCTGTCTCTCAGGTTGGGGGTGGTAGTTTGCCTGTGACCCTAATTCTCTGATGGGTCTAAGAAGAGTTGTTGATTTTCAGTTTGTTCAGCTTTTGTCTTGTTGTGAAGACAGGAGTGACAGCTTCCAAGCTCTTTACATATCAGACCTGCCTTAGCTTTTCAAGTCATGGATTCCAGAACCCAGTTACAGGCAAGAATTCTGAAGTAAATCTGAAGTAAATTCTGAGTTAAAATCATGGCTCTGCCACTGGGTAGTGCTTGTGTGACTTGGTAAAGTTGCTTATCTGTGCCTCAGTTTTCTCATCCATAAAATGGGATTAAATTAAAGAGTATGTGTCTTATAGGGTTATTGTGAAGATGAATTCAGAAAATGCATGTCAAGCACCAAGCAAAGTGTCTAGCACAGAGTAGAGCTCAGTAAGTGTTAGCTGTTTTCATCCTTGTCAGGTCCCCATATGCGCTGTGTACTTTCAACACTGGCTCTTTTTTCTGCCTGGGATACCTCTCCTCCATCTATCTAGCCTTTACATGTCCTTCAAAACATTGTTTATTTCTTGTTCTCAGAAAGCGTGTTCTAAATCCCTCATCCATTTTAGATAAGGTGACCATATAATTTATTACCAAATTTGGACACTTTTGAGAGTAAAAAGGGGTGCTATTAATAATTACCCACGACAATAGTCCCAGGCAAACTGAGAGATATGGTCATCTCAGTTTTAGATACCTCTTCTCTGGCTTTCCACTGGTCCCAATGTCTGCCAACAGCATTGTTCACACTACTGTCCTGGTTGATTTACTTGTTTGCTTGCCTCCCATTCTGCAACTTCTCCAGGGCAGGCACAGTGCCTTACTCACAACCGTGGCCAGGATCTTTCACAGGGCTGGCATGTACCATGTGTGCACGCATGCACACACACACAAGCACACTGAAATGATGAAAGTGATTATGCCATGTTCATTTCCACCTTTATCTGTGATTGTTTTACCTTTAATGTGATCTCATGCCTTCTACTTCCTTCAGATAAATCTATTTTATCTTCTGGGGCCTCACTTGCATTCCACCTCTTCTGGGAAGCCCCCTTTGATTACTGTGCCCCCCATTTCTACTTCCTCTCATCTCCTATACTTATTGTTGCTGTACATATTATATACTGTTCCATGGATGGGCTCTTGTTCCCCAGTCAGACTCAGCTCCCCAAGGACAGGCACTGTGTTGTCCCTGTTTCCAGTCTCCCTGACAGCATGATCAAGCACAGGGCTGGCCACCAGCAGGCACTCAGGAAACACTTGTTGGTGCCCAGTTGCTCAGTCTGGTAACCATTCACTGGGGCCTTCCCAAGCTGAGTGAGATGATGCTAGTGGCTGGTGAAAGGAGGCAGTCTGTAACAGTGGGAGGTGCTCAGGGCTTCTGGGGTAAGCTCTGATTTTGGAGACAATCCTTACTTTTCCTCTGTTCCTTAAGTCCACAGTTTTGTGTGTGAGCAAGATGGAGACTGACCTGTCTGGCTTTGACATCGATGCCCCCCGTTGGGACCAGTGCACTTTCCTGGGGCGGGTGAAGCACTTCTTCAATATCACAGACCCCCGCACTGTCCTGCTACCAGAGCGGGAGCTGGACTGGGCCAAGGTGATGGTGGAGAAGAGCAGGTGAGCGGTTAGGAGAAGGGGCTGGAGGCACTGGGGTGACATTGATGGGTCCCCTAGGGAGGAGGTGGAGACTGAAGATGAGGGAATAGGCAGAAATCATCAGGAAGGAGGGAGAAGTGAGAGCAGGATGACTCGGGGCAGGGCGACTGGGAGGTAACTCTGCCTGTTGTCCTTTGGTGGCAGGATGGGAGTCGTGCCCCCAGGCACCCAAGTGGAACAGCTGCTGTATGCCAAGAAGCTCTATGACTCGGCCTTCCACCCTGACACCGGGGAGAAGATGAACGTCATTGGGCGGATGTCCTTCCAGGTCCCTGGTGGCATGATCATCACAGGCTTCATGCTCCAGTTCTACAGGTGTGATCCGGGAGCAAGGCAGTGAGAGGCGCAGCTGCCTGGATCCTGTGGGTTGGAGGACGGAACCATGCTGACATATCCAACCTGACCTGGTTTCTAAGTGTGTATACTGTAATTACCTGCTCTTAGAATGGGCCGTGAGGCTGGAGCTCTTTAGCCCAGACAGGTGTTCATAACCTTTAATTGGAAGGCGTGAAAAAAGATATTGAAAAAAAAGGAGCCATATTATGATAAAATAATAATCTTTATTGATACCTTACCAGATACCAATGATCATCATCTTTATTGATCTCTTACCAGATACCAGGCACTGTGCTAAATTCTTTGCATATATTACTTCATTTAATCTTCTTAACAACCCTTCAGAGGGGTACTATTATTGTCTCCATTTTATAGATGAAGAACTGAGGTTCTAGAGAAGTTATGTAACTTGTCCAAGTTCACACAGCCAGGAGACATTGGTGTCTGGATTTTTTTTTTTTGTGAGGAAGATCAGCCCTGAGCTAACATCCATGCCAATCCTCCTCTTTTTGCTGAGGAAGACTGGCCCTGGGCTAACATCTGTGCCCATCTTCCTCCACTTGATGTGGGACGCCGCCACAGCATGGCCTGACAGGCGATGCGTCGGTGCGCTCCCAGGATCTGAACCTGGACCGCCAGCAGCGGAGCACGTGCACTTAACCGCTACGCCCCGGGGCCGGCCCCAGGTGTCTGAATTTTAACTGAGGCAATCCTCTCTGGAACACTCAATGAATAAGCTATCCTAATTCCTTCTTCAAAAAGTAGCTATTCAACAGTGAATTTAATGTATTTTTATCCTGTAGTATCCCAGGAGAAAAATAGGAAGACCCTTTCAGCCCAGTTGGGGAGAGAATAGATTTTCTCTGGAGCTTCTGGATGTGTGACTCCTCCCCTTTCCTCTCTTCCTCCTCGTCCCACACGCATTCATTTGTCCAGTTATTGAGCCAGGCCTTGGCTCAATAAAGACTTGAGACCCTCCCCTCCAGGGCTACCCCCAGGAGCCCCCAGTTTTGTTGAGGAGACCAGGAAGTAAACAGTTACCGTCCAGCTTACTAAGTGGTAGGTTGTGGGGAGAATACGAGGTTGTAGGAACAGGGAGCATGGAATGGCTATGTCTTGGCAGCGGAAGAGTCGAGAAGCTTCCAAGGAAGAAGTGATCTCTCGACAGAGCAGGATTTAGCCATGTCTGGAAGCGGGGATTGTGGATATTCCAGGCAGGGGGCCAGCCTGTGCAAAAGCTCAGGTGCATAAAACAGCATGGGAACAGTTTGGGAACAGCAGGTAACGTGGTTGGACTGGTATATACCAAGCCCTCTTTCCATCCTACTCTCTGGGCCTTTACTGGTAGGACGATGCCGGCGGTGATCTTCTGGCAGTGGGTGAACCAGTCCTTCAATGCCTTAGTCAACTATACCAACAGGAATGCAGCTTCCCCCACGTCAGTCAGGTAGGAGACCTGAATCCCACGCTGTCCACGTGGGTCTGGAGCACATGGCTGTCCTCTTGTCTCTGGGGGTACAGCCCTTCTAAAGGGTTCCTGGGCTGTCAGTCCTCCCTGGGTGGGACTTACACTGGGCAGGTGACCAAGTCTCCCTTTTCAGGGTTTGTAAGTATTTTCTTAGGCTGACTAGGAGAGTATCTTTTTCCTAGACCAATTCAAAATGCATTCGTTCATTTATTCTGCAAATATTTCTTGAGTGTGTATTATATGCCAGGCATGGTTCTAGGTGCTGGGGATACACTTGAGTAAGATGTGTGGTCCCTGTTCTCATGGAGTTTAAGGCCTTTTAAGAAAACAAGTACAGGGCCGGCCCCATGGCTTAGCAGTTGAGTGTGCGCTCTCCGCTACTGGCGGCCCGGGTTCGGATCCTGGGCGCGCACCGATGCACCGCTTCTCCAGCCATGCTGAGGCCGCGTCCCACATGCAGCAACTAGAAGGATGTGCAACTATGACATACAACTATCTACTGGGGCTTTGGGGAAAAAAAAGGAGGAGGATTGGCAATAGATGTTAGCTCAGAGCCGGTCTTCCTCAGCAAAAAAAGGAGGATTAGCACGGATGTTAGCTCAGGGCTGATCTTCCTCACAAAAAAAAACAAACAAAAAAAGAAAACAAGCACAATAATTTCAGACTGTGATTGCTCCCATTAAGGAAGTAAACAGGGTGACAAAATAGAGAACAGCAGAAGGCGTCTGTGTAGATCGGCTGGTCAGGGAAGTCCTTTCTGCACAGCTGACATTTCAGCTGAGTTCTGAAGGATAAGGAGTTAGCCAGCAAGAGCCCAGGGAAGAATTCTCCAGATAGGGACCAGCAGTGTGTAGAGGTTCTGAGGAAGGAAAGAACGTGGCATGGTTCAAGTACTGAAAGGAGACCAGGGGGCTGGAGCATCATGAGTGGGGGAAGAGGTCACAAGTCGAGGCTGGGGACAGATCACATGAGCTTCTCAGGCAGGAAGCCCCGTTTCTAGACTTTCTCACTCAAGCCATAGTCTTGCCCTCAGCCAGCAGAGCTCCCCACTCCCAAGCATCTCTCTCCTCCACTAGGCAGATGGCCATTTCCTACATCACAGCTACAACCACTGCGGTGGCCACTGCTGTGGGCATGAACATGTTGACAAAGGTACGGTCTGGGCCGCTGTGGGCATGGTGGCCACTAGGGGGCAGCAAAGTCCTAGGGAAAACTACTTCCTCGAGGCAGGAGACAGTTCTCCAGTCTGCGTTAGTTGGGTATGGCCAGAGCCCAGCCAAGTAGTGGGAACTACAGCAGAGCTGTCCCCAGGTTGGTCTTTCTCAGGCCTTTGAGGGTGTTTGGGTTCCCAGACTGGGTGTCTGGATGTGTGGCAGTAGCGAGGTCTGATTTCTTGTTTGATAGTCCTTAATCCCCCTCCTTTCCCATCTTCAGTGAGCCTGACCATATTCCCTTCCCCCAACAGAGAGCTCCACCCCTGGTGGGCCGCTGGGTGCCCTTTGCTGCTGTGGCTGCAGCTAACTGTGTCAACATCCCAATGATGCGACAGCAGTGAGTACAAGGATCCCTTTTCCTCCCTACAAACCACGAGGTTAGCAGGGAAGGGGCAAGAAACCAAGGCAGTGGGTGGCTTCTTGGGGCGGAGGTGGGTGTGGGGAGGCCTGCTGGGCTGCACCTCTGAAGGGTCCCTGAGGATTGGCTGCTCCAAAGGTGATGGCTCGGGAGTGGCGGGTGACTTAGGTCTAATCTGTGATGAGTGCTATGGGAGTCATTTTTTGGATGATGTGGGATGGGGGGATAGCGTGGACCTGTGGAGTTTTATACTAGATCATGTCCTTTCAACTGCAACTGTGTTTAAGTTGTGAACTCTGCCTATTTCCAAAGCCTGGGGGATGGCTTACAGAATGAAATGTAGCAGAGTGAGGTGTCCAGAGATAGAACAGGACCAAGAAGCTTTGAAAGAAGCCAGAGGGTGGGCCGGCCCCATGCCTTAGCGGTTAAGTGCACGCGCTCCACTGCTGGCGGCCCGGGTTCGGATCCCAGGCGCGCACCGACGCACTGCTTCTCTGGCCATGCTGAGGCCGTGTCCCACATACAGCAACTAGAAGGATGTGCAGCTATGACATACAACTATCTACTGGGGCTTTAGGGGAAAAAACCAAATAAATAAAATTATATAAAAAAAAAGAAGCCAGAGGAGTAGATAGATGTTTTCCAGGCACCCAGCTCTAAGCTTTGCAGAGGAAAGGTAAAAGGAGAAACCCTTTGCGTCTCATGTTCTTGTTTCTTGACTAGAGAAAGCATAGACATTCCTCTGTTATAAAATTTAATGATGTAATACGTGTAAAGCCCTCAAAACAGTGCCTGGAATGTAACAAATGCTACATAAGTGTTAGCTGTTATTGCTGCTATTATCATCATTGCCTCCATTGTCATCACCAATATCTACAAGCCACATTTTCTTGGGACTACCAGCAAATGGAAATTTATCACAATAGCCCTTGCAGAAAGAGCACACTCCCTGACTAGTCATGCGTACACATTGCTCCTCTCCTCTTTCCCTCCCCCACCCAGTTGCTCCTTCCCAACATATGAATGAGTCCCAGCCACCTACCTGGTCTTGGGTTGAGTGCTGGCAAGAACTGGCCTGAGAATAATGGCCAGAGCAGCTACTGTTTGTGGAGCAGTCACTCTGTGTCAGGCGTTGGGCCAAGCACTTTGCAGGCGTTATCCCATTTAATCCTCTCCAAGTCCTGTGAAATGGGTGCCACGATTATCCCCATTTTTTAGATGAGGATAATTGAGTCTTTAGAAGGATTAGGGAACTTGCTCAAGATCATACACTTACTCTGCACTTTTAGGGTTCAACCTAGGCAGTCTGGGCCCACAGCTAGATCACTCCCTGAAGTACAGATGGAAGGCCAAAGGGCCAGGCTGCAGGAAGGGGCTTCCTAGAGCTTGAGTGCCCTGGCCTTGGTCCCCTGGTGTGTCACATCGCTGGCAGTCCTCCTGCACCGCTTTCTCAAGTCCAGCAACTCCTGTCTATGTTTAGGGAACTCATCGAGGGCATCTGCATGAAGGACAGGAATGACAATGAGATTGGTCAGTCCCGGGTGAGTGGAGGCCTCCCTTTGGGGTGGGAGGATGGAATTCCCTCTCCTACCCTGTCCTGTCCTTGGTGGTCACAGTAGGCCTGGGTTCCATTATAAGATTGAGAAGCTTTCTCCCTGACTCCATCCTCATTCCCCATGGATTTTCTCTACATGTCTTTGTTCAGAATAGGCCTCTCATGTCCTTTCTCCATCGTTTCTGATCCTGAAGCCATAAAAGTCTGACTGGGTAGGAGAGGGTTGGGTGAGGTCACTCCACCCCTTCCCCTTTACCAGCTCAGACTTGGCTGTGACCCTGACCCTGACCCAGCCCTCTGGTACAGCCCATGTATACTGGATAAGGTCATTCCTGACAACTTACTCTTTGTTGCCCTCAGAGAGCTGCAGCCATAGGCATCACCCAAGTGGTTATTTCTCGGATCACCATGGCAGCCCCTGGCATGAGTAAGATGGGGAAGCCCTCCCTTCCTGGGGGACCTTGGGACACATGGTGGAGACCTCAGCCATACTCAGCTTTCCTGTGGGAGGCGGGACCTCAGCCTCTACAACCATGCTTCTCAGACTGGTTTGCTTGAGTGCTGAAAGCCACAGGAGAACCACACCGTAGTTCCTGAAACATCAATTAATCAGAGATTTGGGGGAGAAAGTTATATTCATTCAACAAATATTCCTTAAGTGCCTTTATTGTTCTGGATGCAGTGCGGGTGCTGGGGAGACAGTGGTAGAGAAAATAAATTCCCTGCCATGGTTTTGCTTCCAGCAGGGGCACATGACAAAGTAGGAAACAAAACTTATTTGCAGGAGCCTTCAAGGACAGTTTTAGTGGTGAGAAGGACGCTTTTGGCCTGTGGTACTTGTCCTCCTGTTACTACAGGTGTGCAGGTTGAGAAGTTTGAGAAGCACCCTTCTGCTGGGACCTGGGGGAGAGGTCGGGGGTAGCCATGCCTAGGTAGTCTTCTGTTCTTCTCCCAAATGAAAAGTATTTTCTGGAACTTCTGGGGAAGGAGGAGGAACCACTCCTCCCTGATCTGACTTTGGAAAGGAGTCTTGGCAGAGTCTTAGAGCCCTCCCCCCAGCTTCTCCCTGGTCTCTTCCAGTCTTGCTGCCAGTCATCATGGAAAGGCTGGAGAAACTGCGTTTCATGAAGGTAAGTGGGATTCTCATTGTCATCTTCCCTGCCCAGAGTCCCCCAACCCACACCTGTGCCTGGGGGCTCCTAACCCTCTTATCCTTCGCTCTAGCTCCCACCCTTCATCTCACTCAGGTAGGGCCCACCCCAGTCCCTGCTGGCTGCCTGTTTTAGACACCACGGCCAGTTTCTTGGCCTTGCCTGCAGAGACAAGGACTTTCTCCCCTTCTCCCCTTCCGAGGCAGGATTTTCATGCCTGTGGGTTTCTGTCTGGCTGATCGGTGGCAGGGCAGGTGTGGGGTTCACCTTAAGGTATGTAAGTCCCATATGGGTCTCTCTTTTGTTTGTTTTTGTGCAGAAAGTCAAGGTTCTGCATGCCCCATTGCAGGTTTTGCTGTCTGGGTGCTTGTGAGTAACATATTTTCTTGGTTTGGGTTCTATGGTGGCTGGGGCACCCAAGATCTGTCTTCTTGTGTCACCCATGTTGGAGAACACATATTCCTTTACCGGACTTCAAAAGTGCCTGAGCTCAGAACACCTGTGGTCCATCTGGAGAGCTCTTGCCCCATCTTTTTTGAGGGCACCTGGCTGGCTAGGCTCTATGTACACATCTGTGTGGAAAGCCAAGTGCTTGGGTGTCCTCCTGTCCCAGGGTCTCCCCTCTGACCTTAGATCTGGAGCAGTTTTAGAGAAGTCACAAAAATGATGAGACAACCCCAGCACAAACAAGAAATGATAATTCTGTGATGCAATAGAGCTAGTGCTGTGGTCATTATCGTGTTGCGTGTGTGAAATCAACCTGTTGTACACCTTAAACTTATACAATGTTACATGTCAATTACATCTCTAAATAAATAAGTAAGTAAGTAAATAAGATTAGACAAAAATGATGAGATGGCCTGGGGCTATCAGGTGTCCAGCCTCGCCCAGGAGGAAAGCACTACAAGTCGTGGCAAGTGCCTGCCATTGACTGGACATGTCCTGTCGTGCTTTGCAAGGCTAATGACAACAACAACTAACATGTGCTGAGTGTTTTCTGTGTGTCCCCACTGTGCTCATGCTTCACATCTATAATTTCACTTAATTCCCTCAGCTGTAGAGGTATATATACTGATATACTGTCATCATCTCCTTTTACAAATGGAGAAACTGAGGCTTAGAGAGATGAAGAAACTTGGCCAAGGGTAATTGCAGAATCTGAGACCAGACCCTCGGCTGTCTAACATCCTGCTATCCTATCTTCTGCTAACTGAGTTGCTACTGAGGGAGCGCTTACCATGGGCTGGGTGCTGTACGTATGTTATCTCATTTAATCCTCACAGTAACCCTGCAGTGTAGGCACTCTTGTCCTCCCTCTGCTGGTTCTGAGGTAACTTGCCCCCGATTGCACAGCTAGTAAGTGGCAAAGCTGGGATACAAACCCAGGTCTGTTAGACTCTCAGATCCTCTAAGACATGGTCCTGGACCTGGATCATCAGAGAATTTGTTAGAAATAAATAGTCTCAAGCCCTTCCCAGACCTACTGAATCAGCGTTGCATTTTAGCAAGCTCCTCAGGTTATTTGCACGCACAGTGAAGTTGGAGAAACTCTGCCCTTTACTGCTCTCCGACAGTCCAGGTGTTCAGTGAATACGGGAGCAGGACGTTGGGTTCATCCCCCTCACTGCTTTCCCTACATGTCAGCGGGGCCTTGTGGTCTTTAGGGCTGCTGCTCGCACTCCCTAGTGACCCCCTTATCTTCTTCGTCTCCTTGAACGCCGGGGCTGGATGTGGGGTTAGGGTTGGGAGGTGGAGGGGGAGCTGATTTTATTCCGTGCCAGAATGAATATCCTGGCACTGAGAGACCAGGAGGAGAGTTGGAGGGAGAGGAGCTATGGGGCCAGCTGGAAGGCAGGCCAGGGGAATGGGCATCTCCCCCTTCCTTTTGGGGGCTCGGGGAAGGGGTGTGGGTGGGCCTGTGGGCAGATGCTGCCTAACACTTTGGTTTCTCCTTTCTTCCAGCCTCATCTTCATGGTGCCAGTGGCCTGTGGGCTCTTCCCTCAGAAATGGTATCAGCTCTTCATTCCTCACTTTGTTTTACTGAACACCCTGTCTCTGCTCTTCCTGAACTGCCTGCTGTCCTGAAAGAGAGAGGAGGGGGCAGGAAGGGCAGCATTTGTCCAAGGACAAGTGCCTGTCAGCCCAAACTCTGGGCTTCTTAACCCCAGGTGAATTGGTAAACCAAAACAGATCTCCAAGGGGCAGAGAGATGAGTTGCTCCCTCCCAGTGGAGCAAGGGCTGCCTTGGAGAGGAGCTGGGGGAACAACCCTGCTCTTTGGGTTATTAGATACATATCCCCTGGGTGGATCTGGTCTTTGAAACAGAACAAGGGGATAGCTACCTATTCTGGTTCATGTTTGCCAGAGGGTGGATGACTTGGACCTTTCTACTTTCCTGGCATGACCTGGAAGGGGAGGAGGGGTTGAGAAGGGATGATGGAAAAAGGAAGGGAAGCATCAGACTGGGATGGTGGGCTGGGGGGTGGGGGGGGACAGGACTAGCTCCAGGAGGCCAGGGGTAGCTTGAATGTCGACTGAGAAGATGCCAGTCTCCCCTTCCTTAGTACTCTCGGTACTTCTTAGTCATGTGCTAGACATCTCCTGTGTTCTGAGCACTGTGCTTGTAATCTGGTAGAGAAGATGGAAGTTGAGCACCAGGGAGAATGAAGTCAGGCCTGAATAGAAGTAAAAGCAACATACTGTGGTATACAAAGGCTGTTAATATTTCTGATGGGACAATCGGGAAGGGCTTCTTAGAGATGGCATTTGAGACGGACTTTATCTGAGGGTAATTTGCTGCTTGTCCAGGTGTGTGCTCATAATTCTCTTCTGCTCTCTTCTCAGTGAATTGCCAGTTTCCTATCTGGAACCGGAGCTCCAAGACACCATCAGGGCCAAGTATGGAGAACTTGTGCCTTCTGTCTACTTCAATAAGGGTCTCTAAATGCCCCACTCCAGCAAGGACCAGTCTATACCCATATTCACCAGCTCTTCCTTAGCTGTTGTGTATACCTGTGCCCTCACTCCCCTTTGCCAACAGGGCCTGAAGGCCAATGTGGGTTGGGGGGTGGTGGGTGAGGGGGAGGATGCCTCACGCTTCCACCAGGCACCTGGTTTACTGAACTCCAGGGGATAAAGGTGAACAAGGGGAGCAAAGACCAAATCTATCTGCTCCCCCTTCACCCCCATCCCCTGGAGACCAGGAGCTGAGACCCCCCTCGGGGAGAAGTTGCTGGGACCTGGGGGAGACACTCAAGCAAACCATTTGGAGAAATTAGGAAGCCTTTGGGATTCTGGTTCCAGCCAGGATTGGGGAAGAGCCCCTGGGACAAAGAGACGTTCCTACTCCTCTTTCCTCTTCACTCCTCCTCATCTTCTCACGCTGTGCAACCTCCTACCCATGCAATTCTAACTAACTCAGGAAGGGGGAGGGAAGAGGTCTGTGTCACCTTGGGGCTCTTCACTCTTCCCCATTCTCCTCCCCAATACCCCCTAGTCGGAAAGCTTCTTTGGGAGTGCTGCTGAACGTGAGTTTCTCAGGCACCCAGGAGTTCTTCATGCTGAAAAAGGTCACTGTGTGAGGCAGCAGAGTTTCAGGTGCTTCAAACCTTGTTTGTTGACACTGATTTTGTTCTCCTGCCCTAAAATCATGTCTGACTTTACTTCTTTGTGTTTAAAAGATAAATCCATTAACTGTGAGTATAAAGGATGTATGTAGGCATTAACTACACATTTTAATGGGTATGATTTCCTGGCTGCCTCCCTTCCTCAGCCCATTGGGTTAAACACCAAAGAAAGACTGGTATGTACTGAATAGGAAAGGGAAGTTTTATTTGGACACTGCTAAGAGGAAATCAACCAAGACCAAAGAGCCTTAAAGGGCACACAGCAAAGCACAGCCACTTGTCCTTCCCAGCTTGGCTGCTGTAGGCGATTTCTCAAGCTCTGGGGTCAGGGGCCGTTGTGGCTTACCTGGGATCAATGTCTGTATGAGTTTTGTCTAGTAGAATTTACTGACTGTTCAAAAGACATCACTGTGAATTGAATAAATTTCTTGAAAGAACACAATGAACTCAGGATCTGGTCTGACTGGCCTTGGTATGGAGGTGGGTATCACAACTATAAGGGGAACCTGTCTGATGCCCGGAGGCCATTGTTCATTTCCCTTATTATGGAAGAGAAATCCGCCTGTCTTTGCTGGAAGGTCCAGAGGACTACCAGCATAGCAGCCGTATTGCTCCAGAGCAGGAATTGGTAAACAATGGCCTAAGGGCCCAAATCCCCTGCTACCTGTTTTTGTGTGCCTGGGAACTAAGAATTGTTTTTACATTTTTAAAGAAAAAAATGAAAAAAGTAAAAAAGCAAAATACGTGACAGAAGAATATGTATCAGAGACCCTATGTATGTGGCATGCAAAGCCTAAAATATTTACTCTGGCCTTTTACACAAAAAGTTTCCCCTGGAGTAACGGTTCTTAAGAACATACATCAGGATCACCTGGAGGGTTTGTTAAAACACAGATTGTCGGGGCTCGCCCAGTGGCGTAGTGGTTCACACACTCTGCTTTGGCAGCCCTGGGTTCATGGATTCGGATCCCAGGCGCAGACCTAGGCACCGCTTATCAAGCCATGCTGTGGCAGGCATCCCACGTATAAAAAGTAGAGGAAGATGGGCATGGATGTTAGCTCAGGGCCAATCTTCCTCAGCAAAAAGAGGAGGATTGGCAACAGATGTTAGCTGAGGGCTAATCATCCCCCCCCCCCCCCAAAAAAAAAACCACACACAGATTGTAGGGCCCATCTCCAGAATTTCTAATTGTGTAGGTCTGGATGGAGCTTGAGAATTTGCATTTCTGGTAATTTCCCAGTGATGCTGATTCTGTTGGTCTGGGGGCTGCACTAGAAGGACCACTGATCTAAAGAGAAAAGGCCTCTTCCCTGAGGCTAAGGTACTGGCTGCAGTTTGATTTTTCCCCCTATTTTTAAAAAATATAATTATATAATTATAATAAATATATAAAAAATAAAATATAATTGATATAAATTCATCCTTTTAAAGAGTATAATTTAATGAGTTTTAGTATACTCACAAAATTGTGCAACCAACATCACTAATTCTAGAACATTCTCATCCCCAAAAGAAACCATACTCATTAGCAATCATTCCCCATTTTCTTCATGCCCCTGCCCCAGCCCCTTGCCCTCAGTCCCCCCTAATCTACTTTCTGTCTCTATAGATTTGCCTATTCTGGACATTTTCTATAAATTGAATCACACAGTATGTGGCCTTCTGTGTCCAGTTTCTTTCACTTAGCACAGTGTTCTCAAAAGTTCATCTGTGCCGTAACGTGCAATTTGATTTTAGCCGATGTCTGAACAGAAAAGTCAGTGTCTTTGAGCTAGCTTTCTTAGGCTAGGGGATCTAGCTTCAGCTTTGCCTATTTCCAAAGGCAAATAGGAAAAACATTACCAGAGCTCAGAAGCAATTCCGCACTGATGTTCTTTCAAGAATGGACAACCTTCCCCTTTCCTTCCCAGCTCCGTAAGCCTCCTGGCATTCCTCCTTCTTTCATAGACAATTACTCTTTTGGAAAAGTATGTATTGGCTACAGTTCAGAGGCACTATTTAAAAGTGTTCACTCAAACTGCATCTCAGCTCCATTTTGTAAGGCCTCTCTGCTTTCTTTGAGTGGGCTCCTGTGGGATGTGGAAAGAGAGGTGGTTAGGGTGACAAAAACGCCTTGGTGTGGGCAGTGTGAATCCAGACTGTGCAGGGTTTAGTGTTTGTCCTGTTCAGTAGCTTGGTTTGAGCTCTCAGGTAAAGGGAGAAAGTCCTCCTTTATATGGAGGATTTGTAACTCCTTGAGGCCAAGATTGAGACCCTCTCCTATGAAAATAATTGGTCCCTTGCTTAGTACTCAATCTTTACTTCTCCCATAGGGAGCTTGATTTGTGGGATGGATGAATTTCTAAGAAACTCGAGATTGGGAAAAATACTTGTCACCTTTTGCAGCACTTGGGAAAACAGGATCAAGGTAGAGGCAGAACTATGGACATTCTTAAACTGGGGCAAAACCGATTTCTTCACTCTTACCTGTTTCGCACTTTGCCACCATTTAAGCCAAGAACAAACTCCCTCTGGACTCAGCTATGGGCTAGGCTGGGCCAGCCTGTACAATGCTTTGGCAGGTTTTTGCCAGGAAATCGGCAGCTACAGGCAGCTGGCTTCTCTGCCATGGGTCTTCATTTGATTGTTCATTTTGCCAACATTGATTGAGCTCATGGTTGGGCCCTATACAGGATGTTGTAGGGATTTCTTAAAAAATGAATAAGACTTGGTGTGCCATACAAGAAGCAAATTGAGTAAGAGGGGTCAGCCAGGCAGATATCATAGATTAGATACACTGTGTGGCAAGTGTTACGTGAATCCAGAAGAAGAAACAAGGGATTGGGAACTAGGAGTTTGTAAACAAGGAACAGTATGTGTAATGTGTAAATGAAATTAAGTGTATTACAGCACAGTGCATTGGGGATCTCTTAAGTGTTCAGTGTGAGCAGAATATGTGGGGAAATGTAGTGGCAGAAGGTGAGATAAAGAGAAGTATGCAGGGACCAGGACACAGCAAGGATCATATTGAGAAATTTGGACTATAGATCCTGTAGGTAGTTGAAGTATTTAAGGAGGGAAAGTTGTGAGGCAATAATGTTTGGTTTTATGTGGTAGAGCACCCTTGCTGTGGTGTGTGAAAGGAATTGGAAAGGCAAGAATTGGCAACTGGAAGGGCAGCAGGGAGACCATTTGTGTTCAGCCAGAAGATGAGCACACGGATTGAAGCAATGGGGGAGGAATTCAGAGCTATTTCTGAAGTAGAGTCGATAGAATTTTGTCCCTGGAACTTATTGGGTGACAAAACATTGTGCCTCAGGTAAACGTACTACCTCATAGGTAATTCAAATTGGCCTAAGCTACTGCTTGGGCAGTTCGAGACCACGAGAGGGACCTTGGTACTACCGCTGTGCTTCAAGACAAAAAAATCAAAAGACTGTTAGACTGCAGTTGTTTTCTTCTTAAGGAGAGCCAGGTTAGCTTCGAAAAATAACTTATTTGCTAACATGCTTTAGAATCACCATACCCCTTCCCTTTCCTAAACTGTGGAAATTTAATACTTCCGCCACATTCAAGATGGCTGCATCCGAATTAGACTTTTCAATACCGTACACGTTCTAGATGGCCCCGCCCCCCGATCGGGGCTACTTCCGCCACTCTCTGAGCAGTGGGACGCATTTACACGGCCGCACCGCTCAAGATGGCCCGGCTTCCTCCTACTTTTCATTGGCCGGATCCCTCTGATCTTCCGTCTCCATGAGGGGGCGGGACTTCGATTTGATCGACGGCTATTTTGTTCAATGGACGAAGGGCAGGACCAATGAAGCGCTGGAACTGGAGAACCTCCCCGGTGTCTGGGAGGGTGTTTGGGCTGGGGCGGGGTGGAGCAGAGCCGGAAGCGGGAGGGGAGAGTGAAACAGGAAAAGAAGGGAAGGAGGAAGAAGAGGGAAGAGGAGGAGAGGGAGGAGGAGGGAGGTGGCGGCGCCGTGGCGGAGGAGCAGGAGCAGGAGGGGGATGGAGAGGAGAAGGCTCCTGGGTGGCATGGCGCTCCTGCTCCTCCAGGCGCTGCCCGGCCCCCTGTCAGCCAGGGCTGAACCCCCGCAGGTAAGGGGGAGGGGGCGTCCGGGCCAGACTGGGGTCCTGGGGGTCGTCGAGGCCTGGCTGGAGGGACCTGGAGGCGGCTTTGCTGCCTGGCTGGAGGGGTTGAGGGAGTGTTGTTGCCAACAGTTGAGGGGTCCCGAGAGGGACACCCATGCGTGGAGTGGACAGGATCTAAGGGGGCGTCGGTGGTTAGCTGAGGGACACCTGTGACGGTTTTGGCGTCAGGGAGGTGGCAGGGAGAGGCATGGTGCTAAGCGAGTGAAGGGCCTTTGAGACGGCAGTAAGGTGGGCTGGGATGACGGTGACTGGATAGTGGTGCCCAGCTGGGGCGTGTGGGGCGCATTCGTGTGCCCCCGTGGAGCAGGTCTTCAAGGCAGCCATGCCGGGTGTACGTCTGTGCGGGTAGGGGTACTTGGGCTGTTGAGCTGGCCTGAGAGGGCGGAAGGGATGAGAAGATATTTATTTCAGGCTGGACAGGGGAGGGTCTGAGGGCGTCTTGGCCCCATTTTTAATGGTGTTGGAGGCAGGACTCTTGGAGGCCAGGTGGGAAGTAGACCGGGAACCCTCAGGAGGAGGGCACACTGGAGCTATAACAAGCTCTTGCTGTTAGGCTGGCTGGCCTGGAAGAGCAAGTCACTGGTGCTGATCTGGGCCAGCTCAGGGCTTTTGAGCAAAGGGTAGTGCTGATGCCAACACGGGCAGCGAATGGAGCACCCCAGCTTTTCTTGCTGGGTGGCTTGCTTTTTATCCAAGCAGAGGAGCCTGCTTATGCTGATTCCAGCTGCAGCTGGCATTTCGAAACCCTAATGGGAGCGTTACTCCTGGTGCCAAGTTGGGTGGGGTGCAGTAGGGGGAATCACCCCTCCTTCCCTTGCATTTGGCAAGGCTTTCCCATTCTGTTTTCTTCACTTTCTGTTCCCTTCCCTGTCTTTTTAGAAACACACACACACACACAACTCCCCCCGCCCCAATGGCAGAGTCTATACAGCTTAGCACCTGAACTTTGTGTTGTGATCAAGAATAGAAACAGAGTGCCAGCATACTTACCTTTTCCCTAGGAGCTTATGGGCTGCCTTTTCACATATGCATCTGGTTTTGCCCATTAATATTCTCTATTTTAAAAATTAACTTTTTAAATGAGATGAAATGCATATAACATAAACCATTTTTTTTTTTTAAAGATTTTATTTATTTTATTTTTCCCCCCAAAGCCCCAGGGGATAGTTGTGTGTCGTAGCTGCACATCCTTCTAGTTGCTGTATGTGGGACTCGGCCTCAGGATGAACGGAGAAGTGGTGCCTCCATGCGCACCCGGGATCCGAACCCGGGCCACCAGCATCGCAGCGCGCGCACTTAACCACCAAG